AATGTTTGACAATAATGAAAGTGAATTGATGTTTTTGTTCCATTAAACTATACAAGGTTTTCCCTAATGTGAATTCTTCATTTGTTTTGGAGTATCTTACATGCAGGTTAATTTCATAGTGTAGGCCCTAATAATTGGAACATGGTTTATACATTTTGTGTTGGATCCCTTGGAAGAGCATTTAAATTCATCTTTTTGTAGACATCTTTTCTGTTAAAAGTAAAACAAAGTAGATAAGAGTATATTATCCTCCTTTGGTCCCACATGGGCCAGTGAGTGTGCTAGGTCTAGTAGCGATGGGTACGTGCGTATAAAGTAAGAGGATTCGTATGTACTTTGAATGCCACGTGGCTAAATAAGCGTGAAAAGTGAGACTTACATTGTTTCCCGTACGTTAAGTCGCTTTGGATGACGCATCAGCGGATTTTTTTTCTTTCTTAACTAAATTTCTCTTGAAGCTATCGCGAAATCTTGTTTGAGGCATAGCGTCGGACTGAACTTCAATGGTTCTCTTGCTATTAGACTTTGCTTTTAGATCTCTCTTGCCAAAGCGTCCCTGGTCGGCTTCCTCCCTGCCAAAGCGTCCCTGATCCTCTTTTTCTCTGCCAAAACGTCCCTGGTCCTCTTCTTCTCTGCCGAAACGACCCTGGTCGGCTTCCTCCCTGCCAAAACGTCCCTGGTCCTCTTCCCTACCAAAGCGTCCCTGGTCCTCGCGTCCAAATCGTCCTTGCTCTTCACGCCCAAATCTACCTTGCTCGCGTCCAAAGCGTCCCTGTTCTTCGCGTCCGAAGCGTCCCTGTTCCTCGCGCCCAAATCTTCCTTGTTCCTCACGTCCAAATCGTCCCTGTTCCTCACGTCCAAATCGTCCCTGTTCCTCGCGTCCAAAGCGTCCCTGTTCCTCCCGTCCAAAGCGTCCCTGTTCCTCCCGTCCAAAGCGTCCCTGTTCCTCGCGTCCAAATCGTCCCTGTTCCTCGCGTCCAAAGCGTCCCTGTTCTTCGCGCCCAAAGCGTCCTTGCTCTCGTCCAAAACGGCCTTGGAGCTCGCGACCAAAACGACCAGGTAAAGAATCCCTTGAAAACCGGCCCTTCCAGAACTGTGGCAGATCGTCATCGGGGGTCTTCATAGAACGTGAGAAGCGTCCCTTCCAGTATTGAGGGTCATTTGAACGTTTGTCATCATCGGAAAAGCGTCCCTTCCAGTATTGTGGATCGCTAAAGCGCCCCTTCCAGAATTGAGGGTCAGCAAAACGTCCTTTCCAAAATTGGGGGTCCGCAAAACGTCCCTTCCAAAACTGAGGGTCCGCAAAACGCCCTTTCCAGAATTGTGGGTCCGAAAAACGGCCCTGCCAGTATTGAGGTACTGCACCTCTTGCAAACCGTCCCTTCCAAAATTGTGGCTGATCGTCTTCTGGTTCTCGTTTGGTATCCTTGGCGTTTATTGCTAGTATATGGAATAATAGAGTCACGAGGATGGTGACGTAGGAGGCTGTCGTCATGGTCACCAGTGTGTGCGTTGACTTTCTGAAATCAATTTAAAAAAAGCGTCAAGTCACGAAATAACTGTTCAAATATATACTCTGTTACACACATACTTTCAAACGTGTAGCATAGTGGCTTGAGACTCTTATCGGGAACAATAGCCATAAAAAAATAAATCTATTTTCTTAAGAGAATTCAGGTTTTGTCCTTTCTTGGAGGACTCGTTGAAAACCTTCGAAGTTCATTTATCGTTAGGGTAAACTTTTTTTCCTTGGTTTAATTTGATTTGCTTTGTTGATGCTCATGGCTAACTATAAACAAGTTCTTAGACATCATGGATATATGTTCTTGTTAATCTAGAATATCCCGAGGTGTTTCGAGCTCAACGACAACACCTGCCCGGCTCTGGATTTCTGCTGTTAAAGAAACATTGAAGCATTCTCGAAGTCCGACAAGATAATATCTGATAAAAGGTTTTTATAGAATGTCTTTTAGAGTAAAAACAAGCATTTCCTTCTCATTTACCAGTTTTTGTTCGTTTTGAGGTCCAGTTTTACTTAATGTCTTGATTTGTTCTGTCGAGGAAACAACCCATTCCATGAAATGCTCAAGTACACGAAGAGGTTTAACGTTTTGTATTTTTATGACTAGTTGAGTAATACATTCTTTCGCAAGAATTTGTAGTTTAAATACATTTTTTTCATTGATTCATATATTTGATCCAAATCAAGTTGTTCAATGTGAATAAAATTTAACTTAGAGAAATGCCGTAAAAAGTAAAATCATAGTGAAACTTCACAAATTGCTGAACAGTAAAGGAAGAAACTTTGAATTGAAATTATTTCTCATTCGTATATTTCATCTAATTTATATAGAAAACGTGATTTTCTCTCTATTTGTGCTATGTTTAAAATGTTAAAGGATCGAATTATATATTTTTTTTATTTCTAGATGAAATTAAATGGTCATATATGTCAATGGGTATTCCCTTTTAAGGAAATTTTTATATTTTAAATCCGCTTAGACAGTTTTATTCAGGAAGCGACCAGGGCTGAGACTGTAGCAGTTCTTTGTTAGATAAAGCTTTATATTTGTTATACCTTTAGGCTATTTTACTTTCTAAAAATTAAACCATCAGTGGGTATGATGACAAAATTGAGGCACGATTCGAGTTGAATTTAAGGAAAGAAAAAATATGACCCTAGTGAAAGAAAAAAATCCCATTAAAAATACAAAATTTCTTAATATAATACGAATATTTTCCGCCGACTTAAAATTAGTTTACTTTCCGCTATTATTTAATAAATCAAAAGTGTATGTTCACTAACACATTTGGTTGAGTTTTGTCTTCATCAACGCCCTCATCTCAAATCATAGTAAAATATCTCTTGACAACAATACATCTACTTCGTTGCTGTGTTCTAAGAATTCTTGCTTTTGTCTTATTTGTATGTCTAGTAACCATCTTAGTTCTCTGTCTGTTGAATATTATTATTATATCTTGACTTTTTAGTATCGAGCTAATTGTGCGTATTTCCAAGGGGCGCCGACACTCGCATAAAAGCGTTCTTTTCTTTTAGCCTTGCGACTCTATTGTAAGGCGAAAAGGAATCTATTGTTGTCAAGTTGACAATAATTTCTAGGATTATGGCTTTCGTCGTGAAATATTAAGAATATCTTCGACGGAATCTATTTTAGGGCGTAAAATACAAAACGCTTTCGCTCCCAACCAAAGCTTAGTTGTATTTTCTTCTAAATTACACCTGAATGTTATTCCGACAGACATTTTAAGAAATTAGAACTAATTAAGACTCAGAAATTTGCAATTACTAAATGTCTTCCTTTTGAGAATAACAGATTATGTACTTCTCCGTTATATTATCCCATTTTAGGGTGTCTCAGCGCACAACCGCCTACGTAAATATCAATAGGTCCAGAAGAAAATTCGAGCATTGATCAAAAAAACACCTGTGTCAGAATTGGACCGAAACCTTCATCAAATTATTAAACTTTAGAATGGTATTTTAAGCATTTAAGAGTATTTTTCCAGCATTTAAATGGCTTTTTTCGCATTCAAATGGTTTTCTGGTCATTTAAATTGGTCCCAAAGCATTTAAAAGGTTTCTTGGAAGTCAATTAACTAGTTTAGCGAACAATTTTAGAATTTCGTTGGAATTCGCCTCGGTGATATTTTTATAAAACATGCAGTCGAAGATAAAGCAGTTTTTTTGTGGTTTTCAGATGAGGTGTGATTTTCCAAACATAATTATACATGTTTTCTCAATATTTAAATCTCTACTTTGACTTCTAAGCTTTCAAGATTACAGATCATGAAACCTTTCTCTATTTTTTTATGTGTGCTTCATTTACTGAACAAAACGATTGAAATTATTGCGTTTGTAACTAAGAAATCTCTGTTTTAACATGATTGACTTAACGGGTTCAATTCTTAAATTGCAGTTTTTTGTAATGGTTACATGTTATTGAGGTATGTGGGATAATTTGCCTCCTATTGGTTACACATTGCCCTTGCCTACTCAAAACCTTTTCATTTAAGATATACGAATTAAAAGAAGCCCCGAAAATACCATACACCGCCTCTGAATAACGAGAGCTGTTATGACTAAAAAGATGTGTTGTTTTCTAGTATCTTGAAACTTTTCGACAAAGCTATCTATCCATAGGTTCTGTAAGTACTTAATTATTTAAGATATCCACTAGAAATGATTTTGAATTTTTAAGATTATGTAAGTCATAGATACTTCGACCTTTACTACTTTAATTTTATATTTTTTTTAATAATAAAACTTTAAATGTCAGGTACTGAAAGTATTTTCTTCAATAATCTAATTCAAAACTTTTGGCAAGCTTTCCAAATTTGAAAGATTAATAATTCTGGGATAATATTGACCCATGATTGCAATTTAAACTAAACTTCGAGGAGTTTTAGAACTAGAGGACTTAACTATACTTAGTTTACCAAAAATGCAAAAATTGCATTCGTGTTATGAAAAAAAATGAAATTAGATAAATGAGAGGATATTCGTATGTAGTTGTTATTTGATGAAATTTAATTAAGAAAGCTAAAATTACTCGATAAACACGAATTTGTGAGCATAAATGTATATTTCAAATTATTTTTCTTATCTGTCTAATATATTTGTTCAAAGTAGAATGCAACGTAGTTGTTGAAAAGGGTGTTTACAAGCCTCGTTCCACCTGGCATAGCCGGGTCGCTACAGTGATACTGTGGTTTCAAAATATCCCCAAAGTGCGACGAATAATTCCTAAACTCTTTACAGCAGACATTTATCACAATTTAAGAGATCTTTCTACTCGAATAAACTGCTAACTTTTTTAACGAAACTATTTCAGGTGTTTGAAAATAGTTTTTTTGGTTACTGATGAAGCATTTAATAGTTTCATTTACGCTCAAAATCTTTTCCATTTCCAAAAATGCTATTGAAAGCCTAATGACTAACAAACTAAGAAACTATCAAAGTTCGTATTATTTCTTGGATAGGTTAACTGGGTCTTGACGTTAGGGATTCCTTTACTTATGGAGTCTAGATACACAATTAACTAAATATAAGCAAAGGAATTACAAGAAACAAAAGTAACACATTAAACGTTTGACAAATTCTAACCTGCTATCTTGAGTCAGAGCTCGCGCTCCTGGCTTGCTGGATTGTGTGTGGCTGTGAACGGACTAAGCTCTCAATATATCACTGTTCTAGAGCATTGGTCTATTGTCTCTATGTTAATGAGGTACTCTCCCACGTACTGTTAATACTGCCAACAATTGGGCCGTTAGGATTAATTAGCGAAAGCAGTGCGCAATTACGACTAACTTTAGCGACGTACAGGTGTTTGAAGGAATAAACAACTAGGGTAACTTGCAGTGTCATGGGACGAATCTAACCACGTCAGGACGTTGAAATACACTTTACAATATACAAAAACTTTAGACAAGAATAAAAATCACCATTTTGCCAATAAAATGTCAAAATTTCTTCTGTCTAAAATGAGCAGCGTTGATGTTATTTATGGGCGTGGAAAAGGTCTATACTCGATTTATTCTTTTTATCACTTGACGAGTTTTATAGCCATTAAGATAACGCTCTTACTTTAATGGAGAACTCAAATATGTGATAAAAGTTGGATTATATTGTACAATTTTATAAAGAAATGTATGAATGTGTTTCTTGAAGATAGAGAAACTCCCACACTTGATCAAGGTCAATAACGTGCACTCCTATCAACCCTCTTAATCTTTCGTGGTCAAACCACAAACCGTTCTAACACTCTTTACGTATTTATTCCTTGAAAAATTAAGCTTAATTTTACGGGAATTTTGTGGTCTTGTACAATCTCGAGTGAATTGGGATTGTTTTAATTACCGAAATACTCTCGAAACATCGATATTTGTTGGAAGGCAATATATCAAATGTTGCCGGACCAAATATTATGAGACCTTTCTAAAAATCTCATCACCTTGTAGAGTTACTAAACAATACCGTTTATGTCTCATGACTTTTGCTGTTTGTTTTGTGTTTTGCTTCTTGTGAATTTGAATACAGATAAATATTTCCCTGAACATTCATCAGTTTTTGCGGTTTACAACGGAAATCGCAGACAAATAGGAAACCATTTTTTGCAAAGGTTTAGCAATTATTATGTTTTATTTTGTGGTTAAGCCTTCTGGTCTGACCCAAAAAGGTTAAAGAAGGCTTTTCTAATTGAGTTAAATGAAAATATTAAGTTATATGCTCTTAAAAGTAAATAAAATTTGTCATTATTGAAAGGTAATTTCAATTAAGTTTTCATTTACGAAAATCTCCTTGCTTCTTCGAGGAGGATTTCAAGTAAGACTTGAACTCTTTTGCAAATTACTCTCAAAATKTCAGCATTTTTAACTGTTTTTTTTTTTGCATATGCTATAAAATTGTTTGAATCTTTTGACAAACATGACTAGATAAAAATTGAATAAAATTGTTTTGTTTAAACTTTTCTTATCCATTTGAAAAACCGATAATAACTTCGACACAATGACTTGYTGCGTAATGGCGTCATATTTTCTGAAATTAAACTCTCAAACTACGGCCACTTTTAACTAAACACGCCTCTGAAATCTTTTGGAAGCGTAGTCCTTACATAGTCCTAGTTTTAACATCTAAACGGAGAAAAGTTTTGTCAGAAAAGGAAGGAATTGTTTTCTTTTTTTATTGGAGAAAGGAAGTTGCGACACAACAAAGCAACATGGCGTCGATGAAGAAGAAGACCCAATTTGTACAGATTACTCCTGATTGAATTAGATCGTTAAAAATGATGAATTGACTTGCTCTAGGCAAAAAAGCCTTGCCTTAATACGGTCAAGAAGTCTTTATGACACATGAGTATTGCATATTGATCGCTTTTATCGTTTACCATTTGACAGCATCGAGAGGACTGTGACAGGAGTGTCTGTCACTTTTAAACACACGCGCAAAATTCCCCGTCGCTTAAAGCTTTTTGTGTGTTAAGGAAGAGAGATAACATCTGAAGTTTAATGTCTTTGATTTTCACCTTGTCTTTGCTTTATTTACATAGCAGTCTTTAATAGCTAAAGTAATTTCTTATACCATGATATCCGTTTTGTTCACAGACTAGTTTTTCTGTAACTGTTACCAAGGATTTTTTGATTTATGTTTGCTAGAAAAAACTGGAAAATTAACAACATAGATTAATGTATAACGTGAAAGAGGGGTAGTTTTATTTACAAGAATGAAGAATGTAAACAAAAGTAAAGCGTAGGAAGCACAGGTGTTCACGATCAAGCCTGTTTCTCKCTAGGACGCTTTCATTGTGCTTCAGTCCATTTTCCTCACAAAACAGAAGAATGCATTCCTCTGGATTTATTCAAATAAAATGTTTCTTTATTCAATAAGCATGAATAAATAAGGTGGTCTAGAGAAATTGTGAATTGTTAGGATAAAATGCCATAACATTAGCACCTTCTAATAGTCTTAATTTGACTTTKTTGAAACACATCTAATGAAATTATGGACATTTTTTCATCCTTGTCASTTTTCCCAGTTTCAAAACAGCTTAAACACGCTATTTTGATTAAAATTGCATGAAGTAATTGTCAAAATGTACAAAAAAAATTGTAAAGAACAACAATTTAAATATGCATGCTTTGGATTTCGATTTCGTTWCCAGCGATGAAACACAGCGCGTCAAGTTCAATCAGATCTTTTCCATATAATATCTAGATAAAACTTTGGGGTATAAATTCAGTATCATTGAAGTAGATAAACATACTATACCAAAAATGTTATCGAATATAACTGAACTTACTGCCAAGAGAAAAAAGGCACACATAATTCGATAAAACAACTGATATTTGAAAGTTATGAAACGGATTTAAGTAGTTTAGCTTTCATAATTTAACAGTTATAGTTATTTAAATCATAATGTTGCCTTCTTTTCTGCGAATATTTCGATCTGTAAWACAATTCACATTCGACAGAAGGAGAAGAGTATCAGAGCGTCCTTTTTCAAGATGTTTAAGTGTTAAAGTATAAGTATAATGAGCTTCCTCGTCTTGTGTGTGCTATCTACATTATCTCATCAGCGGTACGTTTCAGTAATTCGGATTTAAGCTCTTCTGTAAAGACAAGTAGGGTGTGTTGAAAGGGTTCGTCTAATAAAATGTATGGAAACTTAGATTTAAAAGATATTGGCTCGAATACTACGAATCATAGATAAAACTGTACTTTTTCGACGACTTTGGAGCGTTTAAAAATAAAATATCAAAGAAGATAAAGATTTTTACAGGCAAATATATTTTTAACTTACGTACGTTATTTCTCTCCACTATGTTACGCGATTTCGTAGTGGATATTTTTAGCCTGAAAAGATTGATTGACACAATAAGTAAACGTTGCGTAAACGTTGCGTAAAGTAGTTGCGTCAACAGGCACTGATGCGTTTGCGCAGCGTGTTTATATTGCTTTTGTGTGGCAGGGAAGTTAGTATCAGAATCCAATATGGCGGCTGTATTCCGTATCAATGTGATCAGCTGCTGACCACTGAGCTGTTATTGGCGGTAARAGATATTAAACCAATGAAACAAATTCTAAGAGCCAAGGTGTGGTATTTGAATACACATAAAATAGGAGGAGCCTACGTGTTCCTGGAGTATATCTGTTCTTATGTCCCAGCCAGCTGTCACAACTGGTTGCCAGCGAAAATTKAGGAAAAGGGAACTCTCCAGGCAAGGAATATTTTCTAAGAGAATTTTTGGCAGGAAAATCAAAATGTCTAAATTAAAAAAWATATAAGCCATCCTTGACCATAAAAAAAACCTTATCTAAGTCTTTTTTGAACTTAAAAATCGTTTGTTAAGAACTTTCAAGGAAGGAAGTGCGCCACATTTGCTTGGGAGATTGTCAACAATGTAACTCAAAATCCCTTTCCCAGGAAAAATTCGTACAAGAACAGATATTTAGAAGAACAGACAACGTCGGCCCCTCCTGCATAAAACAACGGAGTCAGCGATTGGTAAAGMAGCATTGATAAAAGAAAATGTTTATAAAAGTCAAATGCGCGCACTTTCACCACCTACTTTTTTTTAATTTTTTGATAACATTTGACAATACAACAGTGCATTGTACTCGCAAAGAATCATTCACAGCTTGAAAACGATGACGTCATTAAATAAGTTTTTTCTGGACACAACAAGTTATTCTGTACAGAGTCTATTTAAAGACTGGCATCGTGATTTCGCCGTGCTTTGCTCTGTATGTTGTCATTTAATATTAATGCTAGGCCACACCTTCATGACTAGCGGTCTTACTTTCATTAAAGGGACACTGTCAATGGATGACATGCGCGAGTAAACTTGAAAACACTAGGCTAGTGTTTTCAAGTTTATGACTCCAAGTTGGCGCGACATAAATCAGATCGTAAACGTAAACAGATCTAGAATATTCCAAAGTGTGTCAAAAGCACCAYAAAATGATTTACCTCGAAGGTWATACTTTCAAAGTCCGTTAGAGGTGAGACTGTTACTGCGCATGTCATCCATTGACAGTGTCCCTTTAAGCATGCGCAGGGACGCCAAAGACGCCTTCGCACTTTTGTGTCCGCTTATCACGTTTGCATATTGGGTTTCCTGTGGGAATTTGCAAAAAGGACTGATACCTGAGAGGAGAAGAATACTGGAGACGATGTGTTTAATCTTTCCACTCTTTGACCGCACCTTTTCTTTGCAGTACAGCACCTTTTGGCTTCAAAATCAATCACTATAAAGTTGCTTTTTTATCAGTGGCCAAAATATTCCTCCTGTCTGAGCAATAGACTTGTGATATAAATATATCTGCCCTATCATTAAGTTCTAAAATAGATTCTCTCAAGCATACATAACTGTCCCATTCAAAAGTACCTGTCAAAAATGAAAAGCAGCGAACAGTGCAGCGATGAACAAAATTCACTGATGACTTTACTTGAAAGAAATGAGTCTAGTGGTTTTATCTTACAACTCGGCAGTTTTCAATAAAACGTCCAGGTTTTCTGTCCCATGAAATRATATCAGCAGAAATGGCAGCGCTAAAACTACTATTTCTTTAGTGATAAATCACGCGCGTCTAATGGACTAGCATAGACAAAATGCGTAGAGATTTCCATGGAAGGCAAGTCAAAAATGTCCTTCGTAGTGACATCGTGTAGCATAAAAAAAACTAAAAATATTCCAGCAAATCATTGAAATAAAAAAAAAAGAAGCGTTTTTTTAAATATAGAACTTTTTTTGTGTTATTTTCCCTCTCTTTTTGTTGTTTTTAATGAGTCCATAGTTAACTATGATGAGTCATTAAATTACGGATCAATTATAAGAACAATGTGGTGTGGTTGATCGTAATTTCTTGTAATATACATTACCGTTATAACATTCTCGAGGAACTTCAGAACATAATTTAATTATTAGTCATTATTATTTTTAATTATTAATACTCCTCTTGCAATTTTGTCACAAAATTATATTGCTTGTGCTTTAATGAAAATTCAGAACAAAGTCACCTTAACTCGCGATTCAGACCCCAAATAACCACAATAGTTTTTATCAGCCTGAGGGATACTATACACTCACCTTACCACCTTGCTAGCTGCATCTCCTAAAGCATTTACCCGTCAGATGAACAGTGCCTACCATATTTACAAGAGCTAGCTATTGCAATGTATAAAGCTTGACTAATATCAAGTCATCACGCYCTTCCAGACGACTGTTCATCAAAATAGACTATGGTGATGTAAGAGTTTAGTAACGAGTGTCGTGAGATCTGATTAGTTAATGTACGTAAAACCAGACGCGTAGCGTGGACTTTTTGGCTAGTACGCACATGTCAGGGACCGCGAAACATACTTTGGATCTGGGGGTCTAACGACATCCAAAGGCGGGGGTATTAAGGGAGTCTGGACCTCCTCTAGGACATTTTGAAACAATAACTCTTGGAAATGTGATTTCCAGCGTTTTGAGAGACATCGAGGGCATATAAAAGGGATCAATTTTATGTGAATTTTTAAGTAATTTTTGTGGAAATTTTAACATTTCCTTGCCACTAGTAGGCACGTGCGTATATGCGTAAAGGACGCTACGCGCCTGAAATATACTAGGCATAGCACACATGATTATCAAAAACACGTAAAACAAAGCGAAATAGTGTAATACACCAAGAAAAATCATAGAGTAGTGATGGGAAATCAAGGAAAAGCAATATGGCAGCTACGATGACAACAACAATGAGAAGAAAAAGATGTAGTTTGTTAGGTGTGACGTAGAACTAAGTTTCAGGCCTTCTAGGTTTTTTCACAAAGAGTCTGATAATAATGTTACGTCACGTGAGAAACAGCGCTCATCAAAGAGCGTTACAATGAACATGACATATAGTCACCATTCTTCACCAAAAACGAAAACAAAGGTAACCCAATAAATCTCTGAACAAAATGTTTTATTTATTTATTCTTCTAAATCTTCGTCAAGTTCTAAATCTTCCATATCTTGAAATAACGTTTCATCTACTTCAACATCGACATCTGTACCTGAAAAAATGGCGTGAAAACAAGTAAGTGTGAATGAGAATTGAAAAGGGGATGGGAAGGAACTTACTGTCAATAAATGCAGCGTCNATGATGATGATAATGATGATGATGATGATGATAATGATGATGATGATGATGATGATAATGATGATGATGATGATGATAATGATGATGATGATGATAATGATGATGATGATAATGATGATGATGATGATGATGATAATGATGATACCATCACACTTACCAGTTGCTGGATCTCTTGCACTAGCAAAAGCATTAAAAGACATTACTGAGAAAATGCCAAGACGAGACAAGTTTTGCTTGGTTGTCCTGGATACACATGCTAACAGCGTCTGAGGGTTTGGTTGAGGGGAGCCTTTCACTGCAGACATGTAACATTGTAGACGATACGACATGATATGATGCTGTTCAAGATTTTTCTCCCATCTTGAAATCTGAAGTTTGAATACAAAGTGCATGAGGAAACTATGAGAAGGGAAATGAGAAAGAAAAAAGAGTGGGAAGGAAAAATAGAGACAAAGATGGAGTTTCGTACTGCATTGCGGGTTTATTTCCAGCCTACCTGATCCACAAATTGCTGCTTCATTTTAGCATCAGTAACAACTGTCGATTGAAGCTCAGCCATTTTCTTTAGCTTTGAATCAGAAGCAATCTTCTCTTCGATAGTGTTCATTCTCTCCATCAAATTTTGCACCATTTCATCTTTACTCTTTTGACGAGAGCCAATGAGAACAGAAGCTGCCATTGAATGCACTGCCGTGATCCAGTTCTCTAAGTCTGTTTGATTGGCAGCCTAAAAGTTGAATGACAGCTGTTAATAAAGACATGATTCCTAAATTGCTTCCAAAATAATCACCACACACAGCTGTCAATAAAGACATGATTCCTAATTAGCACCCAAAATAATCATCACACACCTGAAAATAATAGGCCTCTCCAAGCCTTGTACTGACACTAAACACATTATCTAACTTAGCATGTTCAGGGACAGCCTGTGCTATACATGAATCCACGTCCAATGAGAAGCTTGGGTCATCCAAGTCTTGTGCACTAACTGTTTTCTCATTACAATGATAAAAGTTCAACTTTGCACTCTTCAATGTGATCCAATACTTTCTCCATTTCCGATCTGAAGCTAAATCTATTTTGGTGCCTTTTCCCCTTGTTAACACATGCTTCGCTGATAACCAGCCTGCTTTGCGAGTTGCACCCCCCTGACGAGACTGCGCAATGCCTGACCGTGGCTTGAAGTCGGCGTCAGTACCAGAGCTACTAATGAGATCATCATCATCATGGAAAGTGGCTGAGATTTCCTGGTAAAGAAGAGGATAAGATGAGATCATCACATGTGACGATGATAGTAAAGCTGCCGAAGGTTATATAATGGTAGTCATGGTACTGAGTTATATATGGTTATTATAATTACCATCAATATAAATATTAATTAAAACTATTAAAGATTCAGATTCATCAACCTAAACAATTTTAACTTTACTTGCCCTAGCTCTAGTTACTGTAAGTCAAAACAGAGAAAACATGTATACTATACCAATGAGTTTTCCTGGTGGATTTTCTTCATTTCATTAAAGTATTCTCTTTCTGTAGAGTCCTCTAAAGCAGAGCTAAGGCCACTTTCATTCAAACTAGTCTCCAAAGAAGGGTCATTGTCACTACTGAATGATGACCAGCGTTCAAATGATGATGAGTTCTGAGAAACTGGTCGAGTAAAGACGTCAGAAGACTCACTTCCATCTTCATCAAACCCGAAACCGCTATCAGGACCACCGTTACCACTAGATAGCCTGCTATGGCTTGTACCTGGACTGCTGTTGCTATGGAGAACAGCTCTAGCTAATGGAGAAATGTTACCATGGGAACGAGGAGCAACATTGCTATGGGAACTAGAAACATTTCCATTGTGACCTGTTTGTTTTGATGTGTTGCCATGAGAGTTAGAAGTGTTTCCAGAATAACTTAATTGCTTTGTTGTGTTTCCATGAGAACCAGCTATTCTTTGGTGAGTGTTAGAGTTATTAAATTTAGTGTTGTGTTGGTGATCACTATGGGTAGACTTCACGTTGTCATGGTAATTACTAGTTTCCTCGGCAACCAATGTATCACTGCTACCATAATGCTTGTCTTTGTTATTGTTGGTTTGTGGGGGGTAGGAGTGAGGAGATCTTTTGTCACCCTGATGTGATGTATTGTTGAGTTCTCCATAAGTCTGTGGTGAACACTATAAATTAAAGACAAGTATTACATGTTTGCTCACTATATAGCATAACTAAGTGATAAGCAAGTGTACTGCACGACAGTTCTTACTTTATTTACAGTCGTTTGCTGATGAGAGGTATTGGGTGAATCAACAGACCACGTACGAACTCGCGCATGCTTGTGATGAATAAAAGTATGAATGGAAAGAATGAGGAAAAAATGGAACAGAAGGGAAAAAGACAAAGCATTATATATTTCTACTTACATAACAGAAATCAAGAAACTTAGTTGCTTCTTCTTCAGAGATGAAATTCAGTCCCCAAGCACTTTCTATTGATAAAACAAAACAACATTTCAAACAAGAATTCAAAGGGGGGACATGTTTAACATTGTTGCTAGTGTTACAAGTGCCAGTCACTTCCTTAGCTAAGGATGTTTCCTTGGTGACTTGCTTGTTTTCAAGCGTTGCCATGGAAACCAGACATTCTCTGGTGAGCTTTGAGTTATTAGTTTCAGTTATTAGTTATTATTTTAGTTCTAGTTTCAGTAATGTGTTAGCAAACAGTAATATATATCACTTTTATGCACACTTACTTGATTTGCGATTTCTCCATTGAACAAAACACTCGGAAGTCTTTTTCAGTCTGATTTCTAAAAAATTGCAAACATAACATTATGTTTAAAATTTATGATTTACGCTTTACCCTGAGTGCTGCACAAACACTTATATATTTTACCTTTTAAGTTGATTGCTGTGTTGAAAAACGTCCCACTTCCTGTTGATGCATTGACTTCAAACACTTCTTCTGATCCAACCTTTAAAAAACACATGACATTGTTTGATTTTTGATGATCAGTCAATCATTTGTCCCTGGTTGACAGCCAAATCAAAAGAGATTGTTAAAAGGGTTGCATAAGGGTTGCAGTTCGCTGCTCATGGCTCACCAGTTTTCTGTGAATAATAATTGGAATAACACTTTCTATTACAGGCACCCATCGCAGTGGCCCATCATCAGAGGAAAGTGTGTTCACTTCTGCTATGGATCTGAAAATAGACAATACTTTAGTATATTCATTTATCTTAATTAAATACTTAATTATTTCTTAGACAAGCTTCCAATAAAGTTCGTTGTGGAGCCTAGTGGGTGGTATTCAAGCTATTCTAAACAAAACGATTTGTTTAAATTTAATAAAAGAGTTTCTGTTTCTTTTTTGCTTCGCTGCCCAACGATGAAAAATGTCATACTGAAACGCGCTGAGAATTACAAACTTAAAATGTGGAAAAATGACTTCGAAAATTGACGAAACTCACGTAGAATTTTTGATCTTTTTTCTTTCTTCTTACGCGTGTATATCTGGTGTGTTTCTGAGTTTTTTAAAGAACAAAAGATCGGAAACCATTAAAATGTTCCGAGTGAAGCCATTCATATGTCAGAAGAATGCTTTGAAATGCTTCTAATCGAACGTCTGTTCAAAAGACTTTTTTAAATTAGAATATAGTTCTTTAGGTTTCCAACAGTGTTGAAGCGAGGAGTAAAATAATTAACTTTTGGCGAAACAAAATTGGATTAAATGTCGATCACATAATGATGTTGACATTCGAGTGTCAGTCAAGTATCTGACATCTCACAGAATACTTGTAAAACTTTCCACCATTCCAGATTATAACCTATATACATCTAATTCCAGGGAAAAACCAAATAGTCTTTAATATACAAAAGTATTAACACGACAAACAGACTATCATCACAGCCAAACAATCGATAAACTCTCACCTGATGATGTTTGGATTATTGTCTATCTCGATATCTTGTAACTTCTGATTCAGGCCATTTTCATGTGTTTGTACGATATAAATATCTCCTCTACTCCCACCTTGGGAGGCAGAGGAGATGTGACTCTCTTTTTGGCCTATTCTGCTGATTTTGAGCGGCCAAGAACTAAGAATTCCTTACACATCTCGGTTGAGCGAAGTTCAAACACGACGCTTCACGAGAACGAGTGGTATTCTCTGGGGAATTCAGAACAATAAATTAGATAACTGCTATATCGCAATGTTATTTGTATGTTGAGGTATTGGTTCTTGTATGGCAAGAGTTTAATTAAATGGCAAGAGTTTAAGGACACTTATCCTTTTACCAGTATACATGAATATTTGTAAGTTTTCTGTGATTTTATCTCAATCAATGTCCAAAGCATTCCAATAAAGAAAACGTTTGACAGAAATCGGTATACGATTTATGAAATTTGACCACCATGTAATGTGAATTTCACAAAGAAAATGCCCTAAAGTCGTTCTTTATGACAATAAGTTTAACTAAACTAACAATACAACATTTGAACACCAGCAATTACGCACAAAACATTCATTAAAAAACCTATTAAACTAAAGATAAGAAGTTTTTAAGCTCGAACTTCTAATATTTCTAAGTAAATAACTTAAATACAAACCTGAATTGAAGAATTCAATGCAGCTGTGAATCTAAATGATGACCTTACATGTAAAACAATCACGGCAAAGTTGTGAGCGGCTTGTGCCGAAAAGTTGCTTGGTGCAATAGGATTTTTTCAACCAGCAAACATAGGATAATTTACATAACAAAAACAAAATTGACAGAGAAAATCTCTGAACACAATGCACTTACGTATTTATACGTATAATACTAGATCATCAAAACGCGTTTTACGATCTGAGTAAATCTAGAAGAACACAAATTCCGACGCACAATCTGCGCAGCGTCCGCAGCGTTGGTTTTTGGCATGGCAACAATGCGCTCTCTAGTAGGGATAGGGTGCGCAAGAATGGACATGGGTGGTGATGGTGTGCGGTAAGCAAGAATCAATCATAAATCTACAATCGTGAACTTCTACTCTGTTTTAAAAATAAACTAAAGTAATGCAAAACTCAGATCTACAAATAACACCCTTCCGTGAATAATCAACCATTGTCCTATTGTTATCCCTCCCCTCCCAAACATTTCTTTTTCGTCTTGCCTCACTTTGGCGCGAAATTCAGACAGAAATCAACATGGCGGACGGTATGGAGGTTTCTCCGAACATCCAAGAAATTCCACGTTTAACCATACAATACGATTGGAGAGATGCATTCAGGTAAAATAGATATATCAAACAGGACTTTCAGCTCTCAAAAGACTTCTTGAAGTCCTGCGATCTAGATAACAAGTGATTCTATCTGTTTGTTTTGTTTTTGAAAACTGTTTGTTGATTTCCAGCTGTTTTGTCAATATTACTTTATTTATAGAAATGGTGAAAAGGCTTGGGTTGCATGTTCCCGACTTGGTAAGCTTGTGATCCTCTTTTGTATAAACGTATGTCTAGAGAAAATAATATCCTGATTCTGGCCACATTTGCTATATAATATTACTCTCATATCCTGATTGAGTCAAATTATAATTTTATGGTCAAGTTCTATCTGGGAGTCAATACAAATGACTTACTGATTAACATTGTTTCCAGGTCAACCTTCTATATATGGAGATTTGAAGTACCAATCAGATGATAGTGAATCAGTACAGACTACTGAGGGATTTACAGTTGATGCAATGGACAATGTAAGTTTTTATAACTTCAATTTCCTTGCTACTTTTTTGCTCTGTATCTTCTGGTTGTATTTGTTCAAATCTTGTGTTTTAATACGAGCTGCAAGTAAAAAGAGTGGCTCAGTTTGCAGAGTAATGCTTGAATATTGCATATCTATTAATATTATTTTACAGAGATCAATAACAGTCTCACATCCTGATTCAAAGTGCTCATCAAAGTTTATTTCTCCTTCTCATGTTATCTCTGGAATCCATAAAAAATGTGTAAGAATTATTTGAAATAAAAACAAACGATCACTCATTCCATATTTGTCCATATTGTGTGTGATAATCATTAATTCCATTGTATTATGATCATTCATTCCATAGTGATGATCATTCATTCCATTGTATTATGATCATTCATTCCATAGTGATGATCATTCATTCCATTGTGTGATTATTTGGTGTTATGATCATTCATGTTGTTCCATGCTTTGATCATCTATTCTATTTCTCTAGATAAGGTGTATTGATATTTCTCCTGGAGGTGCTTTAGGCGTTACTTTAAGCGATGATGAACAACTTACAGTATGGGACACAAACACTGGATCTAAAAGGGTTTGTTTTTTGATATATCTACCAATCCATACATTCATCTGTACAATCTATCCCAACCCATTCATTTGTTCCTTCTTCCTCTATTTTTACATTCATTATTTTATTACTTCAGTTATTCATTTATCTAGTATCTATTCATCCATCCATCTTTTCATTCTTTCAACATCCATTCCCTCACTCAGCCAGTCATATTTTCCATTCATTTATTTTTAAATCCATCCTTTTTTTTCATTTATTCTACTTGTCCCTTCATGCATCCATTTACATCAATTTCTTCCATTACCAGTGTGATCTAGTCGGCCACATTGCTGATATCAACTGCTGTAAATTCTTTCCGTCTGGTGAAGTAATAGCTAGTGGTGGCATGGACATGACCATTCGTATCTGGTCAGCTATTGATGGTACTTGTCCAGTAATACTAAAAGGACATAAAGGAGGCATCACAGATATTGATATTGTTGATAGAGGTCGAAACATAGTCTGTAAGTTTAATTAATATTTATTGTTTAGAGAATATGTTATGTATTTAATTATGTTTCTATTTGCATAATTTCTTTTTGGCAGCATGTTCCAGGGATGGTACTGTCAGACTGTGGGACTGTGGTGAATCTAAATGCATTGCTGTAATAACAAACGTTGGCTGCCCAATCAATAACAGCAGCTTAAAAGCAGTTGATGGTATTAACCTTGGAAGAGATGACTCACCAACAAGTATGGTTATTTAAAACATATAAAATCCACATATCTTGACTTACACAACTTTCTGAATCATAATGTGACACATGAACCAAAGTCAGCATGATTGCCTTTTTTGGTTTCTTCAAGAACATTAATAGATTTTGTCTTTATAATATGAGATCATTCTAAATTATGCTTGATATGAAATTTGTTTTATAAGGTGATAGAGAAGTTGGCACCCAGGGAAAACTTCTTTTGTTAGCCAGAGAAGATGGTGTTCTCTCAGGAATTGCACTTCAAAGCCGTGAACAGGTAAAAAGTGGTTATCTCTGATAACTTAATGCTGTTTCTACTTCTCTTTACTTTGCACAAAATATTGAAAAACTGCAACAAAACACAACAAACCAGTCCAAATTATAATGTAATCGTCATTAAATTAATATAATGTGATTTAAATCTATGTTTTAGGTATTTGAGTTCAAAAATCCCTCAGCTTTCAATTGTTGTACTTTCTTGTCTGGTTTTGAAGTTTGTGGAGGAACTGAAGATGGTAAAATATGGATATTGGATATCAGAAATCCAAGGTAGATTATCTATGCTGACCATATCCCACTAACAAACTCCTGATTCCTTGATGTAGAAGAGTTTGAACTTTAATATGGTTGTAAAATGCTAATGATTTGTTGAATATCATGATTATAAAGATATATATGTAAATAGTTAAGTTACATTAAGAGATCTTGATTTTTATCTAGTTTCTCTCTGTATAGTAACAGTGCCTTATTGTTGTATTCTAGTTCTCCACTTGCTATGGTACAACGGTCCAAGTCTCCTTTACAGTCTGTCTTGTCGTTGGGTAATACTGGATTTGTTGCTTCATCTGGTAAGTTTTTCCTTTCTTTCTACTCTGAATTGCTGTCTAGATAACCTTAAATCTATCTTCTTGTTCAGCTGAAACAATCCAGTACCTTTCATTCATTCATCCGTTCATAAATCCATTCATCCCTTTCATTTATTCTTATCCTATTTTCATTTCCTTAAGGCGATGGATCCTGTTTCTACTGGGACACCAGTAACTCATTATCAAATGGGAAAAGTTTCACATGGGAGTTGATTGGTCCAGATTGTGATCCAGTTTATAAGACCTGCCGTCATGGTAACACAATATATACAGTATGTAGGGATGCGTTAATTAGAAAGTATATACTTGATATATGATAGAGACAGAAATGATGCCGTAGTTAAATAGAGATAAAAGAAATCAATGGAATTACACATCACTAAAATATGTATATCAGTCGCATAAAGTTTAACATCTGTACTCTCTTAAATGATTCTGTATAATTCTCCCACCCAAAGAATGTATTTTTTACTCTCAAGATACATAACATAGATTTCATGCCTTTTTATCATTTTTTGTAATCTTCCCATTTTTCATTATCCATTAATTAATTCATTTATTCATCAATGCATTCATTCATCCATTCATTCACATCCATCCATTTATTCCCTCATCTATCCCATCTAAAATCAATCCAGTTTGTGTATTTTCAGCTTCATTTATTTGAAGTAAATTGCTGTAATGTTTGACAATAATGAAAGTGAATTGATGTTTTTGTTCCATTAAACTATACAAGGTTTTCCCTAATGTGAATTCTTCATTTGTTTTGGAGTATCTTACATGCAGGTTAATTTCATAGTGTAGGCCCTAATAATTGGAACATGGTTTATACATTTTGTGTTGGATCCCTTGGAAGAGCATTTAAATTCATCTTTTTGTAGACATCTTTTCTGTTAAAAGTAAAACAAAGTAGATAAGAGTATATTATCCTCCTTTGGTCCCACATGGGCCAGTGAGTGTGCTAGGTCTAGTAGCGATGGGTACGTGCGTATAAAGTAAGAGGATTCGTATGTACTTTGAATGCCACGTGGCTAAATAAGCGTGAAAAGTGAGACTTACATTGTTTCCCGTACGTTAAGTCGCTTTGGATGACGCATCAGCGGATTTTTTTTCTTTCTTAACTAAATTTCTCTTGAAGCTATCGCGAAATCTTGTTTGAGGCATAGCGTCGGACTGAACTTCAATGGTTCTCTTGCTATTAGACTTTGCTTTTAGATCTCTCTTGCCAAAGCGTCCCTGGTCGGCTTCCTCCCTGCCAAAGCGTCCCTGATCCTCTTTTTCTCTGCCAAAACGTCCCTGGTCCTCTTCTTCTCTGCCGAAACGACCCTGGTCGGCTTCCTCCCTGCCAAAACGTCCCTGGTCCTCTTCCCTACCAAAGCGTCCCTGGTCCTCGCGTCCAAATCGTCCTTGCTCTTCACGCCCAAATCTACCTTGCTCGCGTCCAAAGCGTCCCTGTTCTTCGCGTCCGAAGCGTCCCTGTTCCTCGCGCCCAAATCTTCCTTGTTCCTCACGTCCAAATCGTCCCTGTTCCTCACGTCCAAATCGTCCCTGTTCCTCGCGTCCAAAGCGTCCCTGTTCCTCCCGTCCAAAGCGTCCCTGTTCCTCCCGTCCAAAGCGTCCCTGTTCCTCGCGTCCAAATCGTCCCTGTTCCTCGCGTCCAAAGCGTCCCTGTTCTTCGCGCCCAAAGCGTCCTTGCTCTCGTCCAAAACGGCCTTGGAGCTCGCGACCAAAACGACCAGGTAAAGAATCCCTTGAAAACCGGCCCTTCCAGAACTGTGGCAGATCGTCATCGGGGGTCTTCATAGAACGTGAGAAGCGTCCCTTCCAGTATTGAGGGTCATTTGAACGTTTGTCATCATCGGAAAAGCGTCCCTTCCAGTATTGTGGATCGCTAAAGCGCCCCTTCCAGAATTGAGGGTCAGCAAAACGTCCTTTCCAAAATTGGGGGTCCGCAAAACGTCCCTTCCAAAACTGAGGGTCCGCAAAACGCCCTTTCCAGAATTGTGGGTCCGAAAAACGGCCCTGCCAGTATTGAGGTACTGCACCTCTTGCAAACCGTCCCTTCCAAAATTGTGGCTGATCGTCTTCTGGTTCTCGTTTGGTATCCTTGGCGTTTATTGCTAGTATATGGAATAATAGAGTCACGAGGATGGTGACGTAGGAGGCTGTCGTCATGGTCACCAGTGTGTGCGTTGACTTTCTGAAATCAATTTAAAAAAAGCGTCAAGTCACGAAATAACTGTTCAAATATATACTCTGTTACACACATACTTTCAAACGTGTAGCATAGTGGCTTGAGACTCTTATCGGGAACAATAGCCATAAAAAAATAAATCTATTTTCTTAAGAGAATTCAGGTTTTGTCCTTTCTTGGAGGACTCGTTGAAAACCTTCGAAGTTCATTTATCGTTAGGGTAAACTTTTTTTCCTTGGTTTAATTTGATTTGCTTTGTTGATGCTCATGGCTAACTATAAACAAGTTCTTAGACATCATGGATATATGTTCTTGTTAATCTAGAATATCCCGAGGTGTTTCGAGCTCAACGACAACACCTGCCCGGCTCTGGATTTCTGCTGTTAAAGAAACATTGAAGCATTCTCGAAGTCCGACAAGATAATATCTGATAAAAGGTTTTTATAGAATGTCTTTTAGAGTAAAAACAAGCATTTCCTTCTCATTTACCAGTTTTTGTTCGTTTTGAGGTCCAGTTTTACTTAATGTCTTGATTTGTTCTGTCGAGGAAACAACCCATTCCATGAAATGCTCAAGTACACGAAGAGGTTTAACGTTTTGTATTTTTATGACTAGTTGAGTAATACATTCTTTCGCAAGAATTTGTAGTTTAAATACATTTTTTTCATTGATTCATATATTTGATCCAAATCAAGTTGTTCAATGTGAATAAAA